CCTTATTCATGTCAATCTTTAAGGCAAACTCCCACTTATTTCCCTCCTTTTTATGCTACAAATAATGAAATGCTTCATGTGTTATTATAACATTGTCTTGAATTAATCTTCCTGCTATAAAGGCTCTCTAAAAGGGTGAAATGATTTTATCCATTAGTAACCTCATTCTAGTAGTCAAAATCTTTGCAATAATTTTGTAAGACATATTGCAAAGACCTATGGGACTAAATTGACACAAGCCCCTTAAGTTTATCCACTTTAGGAATAAGAACTATATTTGTTGCATTAATAACATCTAATCTATTCTTATTAGCAAAAAAAAAAAAAATCAAAAACCATCTTATTGATCTCCTTCTTCATTTTTGACCAAGAAGACTAATAAAATAAGGGTGAGAACGGATCAAGGCTAGGGGCCTTCCAAATAAGGCTTTTAAAAGATACTTTATATTGTGGTTTAGAGGGAGTACAATACTCTCTTCACTCTTTATTAAAAAGAACCTCATGATGTCTTGTTCAAGCTAATTATAAAAAGCTATTAAAATTATAGGGATAAAAATGGATCATCATTTGATATTCAGATTGGGAATCTTAAATTTTTCTTAAAAAATTGTGTAATTATACATGATTTGTTATATAATATTTTGTAACTCATAAAATTAATTTTTTAAAAATTCAGTATGATAAATCTTAAAAATTTTAAATTGACAATTTTGTTATCTAAAAGTTGGCCCCCCTAAATAGTTAGGCTAGTTCTGCCCTTGCATATATGTAACAAGGCCTCTTTTGTATACATGAAGGACCAGGATGCTATTTCTCTTCCACCTCTGGGAGGTCTTAACTCTAGTTTTCTAGTGATCTTTGACGAAGAAGCAGAGATTAGTTTAGATGTACGAAAAGATCAAAGAATAAGGACCCTTCCTTTTCCTCAGAATAGATGCTTGATCATTCTTGATCTTGATAAGGGATCAGACCACAACATCATGTTCATCCTAGTGTTGAATCAACCATTGTCTACAAATCTCTACTATATCATGAGGCCAAAGGGTGAAGATGGAAGATATATATATGAATCATCTCTGCACATATCCATTTGATTTAGTGCCTTTCTTTTGATTTGTTAATGTTGAAGTATAAAGTGCAATTCATCATTCATACTCTATATTCCCTTGAGTCCTAAATGCAAGAGCTAGAAAAGTAAGAGATCATGCTGGTTGACTTACCTTAGGGCCCGTTGGCTTGCTAGAAAGAATAGAATTGAATGGAATAAACAAATAAAAATAAAAATAAACTAAATTATTCCATCCCTTAGGGTAAACATAAAAAAAAAGTCCATATCATATACTCCAAATGTGAGAATCACCATACACCCACCACAAATTTTAGGAATAATTATGATTTACAACCTTATAAATTAAATTACCCATGCCTTCTCATGAACATGATTGACCTACCTTTTCTTCATAACTTGATCATTGTATTTTTATTTTTATTTTCTTAATCTATTCCTTTCTAGCAAGCAAACTGGCAAAAATTAAAATGCAGTAAATATTCCGGCAAAAATATTTTTGATGAAGTTCTCTCGCATTTTATTTTAAAAACTTTATTGTTTTTTTGTTGAAGCATTCTATATATGCAAATCTAGACGAGGGACTGAATAGACCTAACATATGGATCAATTTTAATTTTACAGGGAAGCAATCACTAGCCACAGTTTTTGAGTCATGTCCTTTTAGTCCATTGGACATGCGTCAACAATATGAAGTAATCCAAAAGCGTCTTCGTGCTTACTTCACAGCCAAGTCCATGGCTCCAAATGGCAAACCTCGTAGGTTCTTGAGGGATGAATGGAAAACTATACTCTCATACTCCTTATCCTAAACTCTTCCTTGCGTGCTCAATTACCAGATTCAAACACTGTTTCTTCGTCGTCTATGGATTCTTCTCCATCACTGGTTGTAGGAAAATGGTACGCATATACATGTATACTTTTATCTCACGAGTCCTCTACTAATTATATTCACTTTGTATATTATCAGATATGATCTTAGTTAACAGACATGTCTTGGGAAGAGCTCAGAAGATAATTGTGGAATTAAAAAAAAAAGATCAAACAATCGGGAATTGTGGAGAAATGAGAGAAGAAATTAAAAGATGATTCATAAGTTTTAACATGAGAAAACTCCCACTGTAAAGGGTAAAAAACATAGAGCGATGAGTGAGGAATTTTACTATGAGGATGGAGAGACTAGATATAATTCATAAAATAGTTGAAAATAATATCTCCTAAAATATCAATTATATAAATATGATAGATTTTAAATCAAGATAATAATTAAATCATATATAAACCGTGCTTTGATATTATTTGTTGAGAAGGGGAAACAATAGCTTGAAAACAAAGGAAATAAATGAACATTTAGCAGAGACATCACAACTTAATTTAAAATTTTAAGACTCAATTTTATAAATCTTTTCACTTTATTTTATGAATAAATATTATAATATTATACCAAAAAAGTGGGATTGGCCTTGGTTTCACCAAGATTTGTGTGTGTCATGCTATTTGAAAGCCAGAAAATTAGGTTGACCCTATAATTGCGCACAACAAAAACTTCTTGTTTGTGGTGTCTTCATTGAGAGAGATGGTTAAGACATCTAAGTATTTACTGATTCGAGTTGATGCATGTGAGAATTGCCACATTGCATAGAGCAGTTGGGCTTAATAATATGTGTGTGTGTAACAAAGTGGAAGGACCAAGAAAAAGAAGAGGAAGTAGGGTTGAACATGGCCATTGTTGAAAGAATGAAATGGGAACAAGGAAACGTTGGATGGGTTGGTGGGAATAATCACAAGATAATTTGAGTGGAGGAGTTTGTAGGTAATTAGTGATGGGGATAATAAATTAAAAGCTCATCATGGAGGAAATTTTACTGTTACTTGCGAGTGGAGAGTATTGTTTTGAAGAAAAAAGATGGAATAGTGTGGTGCTCACTTGTGATTACAAGTTCGTTCATCAAGTTAGGCGCAAATGGGAGTGACACTACTGGAGATTTCAATATATGGGCTGTCTAAATCAAATAATATGAAGTGTTCAATTGTATTTATTTGAATTGTTTTCCACCCTAGCTTGATAATGTCTAATCGGAAAAAGCTAATATGTTTAGGCTTTATATATATATATATATATGTATTATATTCACACATATAACATAAAAGAGCAAATTGGTCTTCTTTAAGCCGCATATTTAAGAAATTGCCCTTAAACTATAGGTTCAATGACAAAAATTAACTTTAATCACTAGTTAATCAAAAAATAACAGAAAAGGACTGATGAAATTTTCTTAGTTCATGTATGTAATTTTTTTGTGAATTTCTCTGTAATTTTTTAGGTCTTTTTTTGTTTGATCAATTAATGGTCAAAATTAATTTTTAGTAATAGTAATTAACAAGGGTCAAATTGTACTATTTTAAAAAGTTGAAAGAGAATTTTACGCTAAAAATGAGTTTGGAATCTCAAATACTTTTGGACTTATAGCTTAATTAGGGGCCAATTTATCATTTATCCCTATATATACTTAAAGTAATTGTTTCCAATTAAATCAAACCATGTAAATTTTTTATATATTATTTATTGTATAACAAATTTTTTATTGATTATTAATGTTATTGACATGTTAGAATTTATTTATCTTGATTTAATTGGATAAAATTAAAATATAATAAATATATAAGGTTAACTATCTAAGCTCTTCCTCTATCTAATTCTTGACAATGAGGATTGCTGATCCAAGAAATGAAGGTTCGTCAGAACACCTTTTGGTTCTTTTCATTCGTTTCGTGTACATTTTGTTGTGTTGTTTGTTTTCAATTTCAATTCAAATGCCAATAATTTTTTGGGAGAATTATCACATTCAAGGTCCTTATACAAGAAAAAATGGCAATGAAAGTTTAGAACAATACAAAATTTAGTATGTACAACTGAATTATATTGCTAAACTTTATCTTATACGTTGTTGAAACTTTTGTTATTTTGCACTCTCAATGTCATTTTTTTCATTTGGGGCCTTGAACGTCATTCTCACTAGTTTATTTTTGCCGTCATGGTAGATTGAATCTGTTTTATTACATATCCTTGTCACTGTTATTCACACACACATGTATTAACAATGACTTTTGTTTTCCCTTTTTTTTTGGCTATTTTATTTCAGATGTAGCGTGGATAATGATATGGTCAGGTGTTAGATTTTTCAACAGGAAGGGGGGATACATGGGGAGGTGGCAATATATATATTGAAATTGATTATTTTGAAAATCTTGTTCTATGTTAGCCTTGCATTTTCATTTACAATTGTGAATACTTCAAGCTTTATTAATTATTAGATCCCACTTCTCTATTTTTAAATTAATATTCAAATTTAATTAATTGATAGCTAATTAAAATGTCACATTTATTTTCATTAAAATTATTTAATAATTAAGTTAAAGTATATTTTCATCATTTAACTTTATATAAAATTTTAATTTAATTATTTAATTTAATAAAAATATATTTTTAATTGTTTAACTCTAACAAAATTAGTTTCATATAATTTTTTTTGTGTCAGTTATAATTATTTTAACGAATTAACTTAATACATCAACATTTAAAAATATCTTATCGATATTTAAAAATCTAATATATTATTTTTTTGTTGATGAAATTACCAGTGTTAGAATTAAAAAATTAATTTTTTATAAAATTAAATGATTAAAATAAAATTTTATATAAAGTTAAAAAATTAAAATTAAAAATATATTTAAACTTAATAATTGATAATAATAATCTTTCATTGCCTGGCAACGATTTATTACTTAAAAAAAAAAAAAAAAAAGAAATCCCTGATGTGTTGGGTTACCGCAATAGTCCAAGCAACTTCGGATGTATTTCACTTTTGCCACTGCGATGAAGTCCCTCACTCTCTCTGGAGTCTTTACCCTCGCTCCTATATAAGGGCTCACCAACTTGAAACCTCTTCGTGGTGACATTTCTTGCAGGGGAGCGGGAAAAGCACCGAACGGAACAGTGCGCAAACTGAAAAATCCAACCTTTGAGTTCTAACTCTATTATCTGAACTATAGGCTTTTTTCTCGGTTCTTTTCCTTGCTTCTATTCATGGCCAACGTCGTTGATCGAGATCAGCATTGGTTGCTCAATTGTTTGTCTGCCACACTTGATCCCAACCATGACGTGCGATGTTTTGCTGAAGCTTCATTGAATCAGGCCTCCTTCCTACCGGGTTGAAAATTATTGAAATTGTTGCTATTTTTAGTTTGTCATTTGTGATTAGGTTGTATAAAATTTCGCTTTCAGATGTTGTAGATAGCTGGAAATTTAAGCACGGAGAGATTGGAATTTGAATTGGTTAACAATTCAATGGTTTTCTTTTGTGATGATTGTCCACTGAAATGATTTTTCCCTTTTTGAAGATGACTTCAAAAATTTGGAGGGCGGGAATAGCTCTTCACTTTACGTGAATGATGATGACTAGATGTATGATCTTTAGTAAACCTCCTGGAATAGCTCTGCTAACTCTTGTTCGTTGAGCATTGTTTTTCTCTTCTATCAATGGCTTGAACCATGAACAACCGTTTGGAATCGGAGATTTTGTATATATAAAGCGTGCTCCCTGTTTAAATCTATGCTCAAGGTACCTTCTAGAAAGTAAAATATTAAGCTGAATGTGTTGGTTAGAAAAGGGTGAAAGGTGAAAAGAAGAAATGACTGATAAAGCGCTGTGCAATTTTGGCTTCATGGTGGCCTTTATAATGGTACATTTTTAATGTTCTTTTAGAGGTTCGGGTGGTGTTACGATACGTTCCAATGATATAGAAATATGGACATGAGAATAGGCAAAGGAAGCAGCTGTACCTGAAAAATGATGACCAACAATGAACAATAGGAATGTTCATATTGGATAGGACTTGGGAGGGGAATTCAAAGGGTTTTGGATGAAGAAGAAATCTTAGCTAAGATGGATGATTAATTTCGGTGATTTGGTCCTTGTTTAGTTGTTGAGTGGATTACTGGACTCTATATGTCGATTCTAAATGAATTTGGAACTAAAGACCTGATTGCTTTGTTGACTTAACAGAGAAAGAGGAGAAGAAAACAATTTCTCTAGTACTAAGTTTGAGTATTCGTGGTTCAAACTGAGATTCGATTGACAAATAATTCTGATAATTTATTTCTAGAGGGGACTGTTATGTGATCTCTGGCAGAGCTGTATGCCTGTTTAATAATTATATTGAATAGAATCAATGCACTGCATGTATCAGTGGGATTTTGAAATCGACTTATATTACTGTTATTTATTATTTCTGTAGATGTTGATTCTTGATAGACTGAAATGTGCTGATATGATGCATGAATTTGTGCATGCATGGTGACATAAATTTTATGCTAAAAGGCATCTTTTCCTTTGATTATGAAGATTTATCGATCTGGTATAACTGCATTGATCTTAAACTTGGATTATATATGACCCTGAAGGTTTTGGCACTGCGCTATCAAAAGTTGCTGCAAATAAGGAGCTTGCAGTGGGATTGCGCCAAATATCCTTGTCATATTTGATACATCAATATATTTCCCTCATGCTTTCCATCCTTCTTAAGGGAAGAATACTGTCTGTGACACAGTTCTTAATTGATTTTCTGTGCCTGTGGTAAACAGTGATTTTTACTTTTGACCATTGGCAGAAGGCATAGCTAGGACTGGTAAGAGAAAAAGAATTTAAAACGAAAATATCTTTTTTGACAACTAAGGAAATGTTTGTTGGTGTCTGAAATAATGCGGAGAACTTGAACTTTCCTTATTCTCAAATTTGATCAGGAAAACAGTAAATTGATGTTTGTCATATCTTCTCTCTCCCCTTACATTACATTTGCTTTTTTTTTTTTTTTTTCTTTGGTGACATAGCAAGAGTTACATGCTTGGGTGTTGTTGATATTTGTGCTAGAAAGTATCCACTTTCCATGAGCCTTTTTTTTTTTTTTACAACTTGAATGGCTTAACTTACCTCTACCTAGCTGCAGTCCTTTTGAAGCAGTTTGTTAAAAAGCATTGGCAGGAGGGTGAGGACGCTTTTGAACCTCCTGTTGTTTCAAGTCATGAAAAGGTGAATAAACTTCCATCTTTGAAGTTAAGGGTTTTTTTTTTTTTTTATTTGGAAAAGTTAAGGTTTTTATCTGGTAAAGATGAGCATTTCTTTCAAGAGTGGTTAGTTGCATCTTAGCTTTTCATCTGCTTTTCTAAAACCACAAGTTACTTCATATTTGTCCAGTACTGCAGTTAGATTGGCGGTTGAATCTGTGTTGGTTTTTTTTAATACTTGGCAGTAGTGTCTGTTTACGCCTGATGAAGAGGGTGAATAAACAGATATAATTCACTTTACCAATTCGAACTATATAACAGAACACTCCACTATTTTTGTGCTTAGTAAAATGTAGGTCGCTAGTGGAGAATATTGGCCGCATTGAATGTACTTCTGATTAGGGTTTAAATGAACAACTTAAGCAACAGGCCTGCCTGATCTTGCCAAAAATCATGTAGCATCAGGAAAATATGTGTATATATATATGTATATCTCCAGGATTTTTATTTGATCCTAACAATAAAAGTACATATTTACTCAGTCTTTATTAACACGATAAAAAACTAACTGACTTAATATCCCTTTAAAAACCATGACTTCCAACAAAAATAAAATTTGCTAGTATTATTTACACCAGGTTATCCGAATTACATTGAAGTTCTCAGTAATTTTTGGACTTCTTTTTATCTTAATAAAATGAATGAATGAAAATATGATTTAAAATGCATTGTTTGTTAGTTTTCGGATCATAATATGATTAATAATGTTGTACATACTTATTTTAATTGGCTAGATTGTTTGGTTTTCTCGCGTAGAATTTAATTATTGTGAGCTTTTGGAATAATGTGGATTGCAATAGTTATTTCTGTTTTCATATTATTTCATTTCAGGAACTTGCTATTTTTTAAGAAGTTTCTTAAGAAAACTATATGCTTTACAGACATTGTTAAAGCTTGATTATTGAAGCAGATAGATTATTGCAGGATAAAGTCCTGCACTGCACTACAAATTCCATGCTTCTGTATTGGAGTAAATGGAAGTGGCAAAAAATGAATTCAGCAAATTTGAAAACGTCTCCACCTCCCTTTCTTTATGAACTTGTTAAACCTAGCCCGTCTTCCCAAATATTTGATGGATTATGTGTCATTTGAGGCCCGAAACAACCATGTTGCATAAATTTCATATTTTTCTTTTTCTAAAACTAGAATATTTTAGTATATTACTTGCATCCTTCCTACATGGGATGAAAATGTTTTCTGTGGAAGCTAGACTGGTTCAAAAGTAATTTTTTTCCCCTTGGCCTTTCTTATGACATGATGATCTATTCATCACTATTCACTTACAAAACTGCTTCTTTGTGAATTTTCTCTGGCCAACTTCATTATGAACTCATGTTAGTTTTCTTCAAAAGTTGATCATTAATAATTTGAGATGCTATTTTTTGTATGTTTTGATATATTGTTAATTGTTGTTGGCCAGAAAAAAAGATATATTGTTAATTGTTAATTGGCTCTTTATTTTTGCCCCCTGCACATGTAATTACATTATGCTTGATCTTCAGGTGGTGATCCGTGAAATTCTTCTATTGGCATTGGATGACTCTCACAAGAAAATCTGCACAGCTATCAGCATGGCTGTGGCATCTATTGCAGAATATGACTGGCCAGAGTTTTGGCCAGACTTGTTACCATTCCTCTTGAGGTTAATTAGCAATCAGGCCAACTTGAATGGAGGCAAGCATTTCTTGTAATCAATCTTATCTGGATCCAATGTCAATAGTGTCAGTGAATCAGAACAGCATATTAGTTACTTGCTGAACAGTTTTATGGATTGATTGGTGCTATTGAAAAATGTTTTGGAAACTTTAGCATTCTGGTGGTATGATTACAAATCAAATATTGTCATCTCCAAATATAAAGCCATGATTCTTTGTTAGAGGTTCCTTACTCTCCTGGCCTGTTTGGGTAATCCTCAAAAGTACATTCAAACCACATCTGGGATGTGCTTTTGCCAAATCTTGAAAATGGACTTTTACTAGATGTAAATTGAAAACCAAACACACACTCCATCTTTTCTTTTTCCCTGTTTCTGATTGTTTGATATTTTTGAAAAATTAAGAGAAAGTAGAAACCATTTATGCACTGCCAAAATCTGCCACAGCAGAAAAGATGTGCTGATTAAATTTTAAAGAAAATCAGAGGTGTTAGGATGAATGTGTTCTTCCTTAAATTAAACAGAATTTTTTTTTATCAATTGTGTCATGTTTTCTTCTGACGTTTTTGTTGTTATTCTGTATTTGTCTTCTGTTTTCTTTATGTTAATTCATTTTCTCTTTTTGAACATTTTAGTGTATGGAGCCATGAGATGCTTGGCGCTTCTCTCTGCAGACTTGGATGATCAAATAATTCCAACACTAGTACCTGCTTTGTTTCCATGTTTGCTTACAATTGTATCTTCTCCCCAGGTCATTTTTTGTAAAGTTACCTATAATCTCAAGTTGACCTGTATTTTTACTTCATTTATGTTCACTTATTATTGTGTCAATTTTTTTTTTTGAATATTTTAAGATGAAGGTTACAAAACATGATTTTACACAATTATTAGGAGGAACACTACTGTGCAAGCATACTCTTGCACTCTTTAGTCTGTCTCTGTGACTGTGTTCACGGAGGCCTATAGTTATATTTTGAAAATGAAGATGGGACAAAAAAATAGATGTTAGAGTGTTCAGTTTATTGGGTGAACTTAGCTTGATCTGTTCCCGTTTGATGATTTTTTATTGGGGTACAGATATATGATGCATATATACGAAGCAAGGCCATTACAGTAGTATATTCTTGCACTTCCATGTTGGGGACAATGAGTGGCGTCTATAAGGTATTTTCTTTCCTTTTAGTGATGGTGTACTGTTCTGGTAGCTGTTGGATTATCTTCCCCCCCCCCCTAATTATTAACTGATCAAGACATTCTGTTCAGACAGAAACAGGAACCATGATATTCCCTATGCTTAAGCCATGGATGGCCCAATTCTCTTCTATTCTTGAGGTTCCAGTTCAATCTGAAAATTCAGATGATTGGGGTATCAGAATGGAGGTTGATCTAGTTCTTTTTGAAGTCTTCTTAACTGTGTGTTCTGTTTTCCCAAGAAATAACAAGTATCTCTCTTCATCAAGGTTTTGAAGTGCTTGAACAAGTTTGTCCAGAATTTCTCAAGCCTTATTGGCAGTGAATTTGAGGGTAAATAATTTGTTCTTTTGTCTAGTTGATATGCTTATACAAATTAAAATTTCCTTTCACTATTTGTTCTCTTATATTTTTTTTCAACATGCTGTCCACTGTAGAAGTATTGCGATCACTGTGGAATACATTTATCTCCTCCTTGAGAGTGTATGAACGATCATTGATTGATGGTATAGAAGGTTCATATGATGGAAGATATGATTCTGAAGGTGCAGAGAAAAGCCTTGATTCCTTTATTATTCAGGTATGGTGGCATAAGCTTATTAATTTCATCATGTTAATTATCAAGGGAAAAAACACTCCACTTCTGATGATATTATGCTGTCATAGTTGAATAGCTGATTTTAAAAGATTTGATTGTTGATAGAGCACAACATCATTGTGCAATCCATGTGCTTGATCTCATCTAGTAGGATAATGCTTGTAATTGTTGTAGTTGTAGTGGTTGAATAGCTGATTTTAGCTGCTACATGGGACATCTTTATCATTCATATGACTTTATATTTCCTTTTAATTTATTATGTGGAAGGCCTGCCCTGATAATATTTGTCGGGTATGTCAATCTATGTGATATGGCTTTTTATCTAGTTTTATGCTCATCAAAAGATACGTCCTTCTGGATTTATCTATAAATTTGTATAGGGTATAGACAATGACTTTAGATTTCCGGCTCCTTTAATTACACTTTGGGGTAGCCTAGCTGAATCATTTTATATCTTTCATCAATCAGGAGTTTTAAGTAATTAACTGGCTGCAGTGTGTCTAAACTAGTGTCCTGCAGCTCCAAATGGTTTTATGCTAGTCTTTCCTTGATTTCCATTCAACTATTTGTTTAACATCCATATTTTTACTTACAGATGTTTGAACTTCTGTTGACTATTGTGGGTAATACAAGATTGGGAAAGGTTTGAGTCTGAACTTCTTAAAACTGTTGTTTCATTTTTTTTTTCTTCCTAATTTGAAACTAATTTGACTTATGACTTGTGTTTTTGTTGCTTAGGCTGTTGTGGCAAATGTGAAAGAATTGGTCTACTACACTATCTCTTTTCTGCAAATGACAGAACAGCAGGTATGACTTCCATTTTGAACCTTCTCATTAGTAGTTTCTTGATCATATTTGCTATGACTTTGCTCAGCAGTATCTGATTGGCCTTCTGCAATTTTTAGTCAGACGATATTCAGCAATATAACATGTTTTGCTTGTTGAATGAAAAAGCAAAATGTTGTTATTAAATATCAGTGTCTAATATTAATTTAGTGCAATGCAGACTGACCTCTTTCATTATCTTGACTTGATGACTGCAAATGCAAGAAGTCATTTTACATTGCTTGTAGCAGTCTTTTGTGAACCTGAGCCGATTTATAGTCAATATTTTTAGGACCTATGGTATTATTGTGTGAACATTTGCATAATGAGGGTATGTGTGCACGCACTCAAATCTTGATAGAACAGAGTTACTTAAAGTATTCTAGTTGGTTTTATTCTTCAGATTTACTATATCAGAGAGTATGAACTTGGATTTATATTTGACTCCTATTAACTTGATCCATCAATTTAAATTTTTCAAAATTGATTTGTTCCTTTTCCTTGGCTCATTACTTGCATAATAATTTTTGTCTTTGTTCTCTGTAATAATAGAGCTTACTGTCAACAATTTGTCAATAAGATTGAAGTATGATTAGAGCGTTACCTTTTAGTCTAATCCTCCACACACACACTGTGGCATAAAATTCAGAATTTCATGGAACCTTTGAAGTAACTAAAATAGTAAATTTTGTCCAACGACCATTTTACTGTGTAATAACTTGTATAGATTTTAACTCGTATATATTTTTCAGTGTTGGAAATTCGCTGTGATTTTCAGCTTTGCATTTGTATGAATAATGCTAGTTATTCATGTTTAAGTACGTCATGATTGATTGGCACTAGCTTGAATATGTTTTTCTCCTTCATTTTTTTATGGCAAAGTAAAAGAAAACGAATTCTTCTCATCTGATCCCAAGATGAAGGAAAAATTAAAAACTAATGGCATAGTTGTTTTTTCATTAGTCTTGATTTTGAACATAGGTTTACTTAAATATTCCATAAATGGAAGTTATGGACGCATATATTGGTGCCATTTTTGTGGTCTATATGCAAGGCTATGTCTCCTTTTAAAATCTACAAATAATTCCTTGAATAATTTTAATACTGTTATTTGGGAATTTTTTATTCTCTCTAGGTTCATACGTGGTCAATGGATGCGAATCAATTTATTGCTGATGAAGATGATGCCAATTACAGCTGCCGAATTTCTGGTTAAGAATCCCCTTGAAGATTTGACATATCAGTTTCAATTTCTTAATGTTGGAAGTTCATTTCAAATTGATTTGATAATAGTTTTAATCATTGTGGAAGATAAATCATTATTCAAATTCATATTTTGATAGATTTCAAAACTTTTAAATAACATTAATTTTATGAGTAAATACATAAACCTCCTTTGGTTTTTAGGAAAATACGTTACAAGAACTTCTTTTCAACTTATACTGCACTTTAGTCTAATTTTAATCTTTTTACTAAAATGTCCTCCTTGAACATAACTTTGCTTTTTAGACGAACTTTGATGAAAACAAAATCAGTTTTTTTTTATTTTAATTTGTGCACGTGTGAAAATTTTACTCTATTTTTATTTTGAAATATTTAGATATTATACATATTTGTATAATTAACTTAATAAAGGGTGGTTCAGTCAAAATATTTAAAACTAAACTAAATTATATATATTTTTTAAAATAGTGGGATGGGATGTTTGTATGATTTTAACAAAGTTCAAGGAAATCCCATTGAATTTACTAGAATTTCATTGGCTTACTCCAGTTATTTATTTTATAATTTTTTATGCTTATATCTATTTTTTCAAAAAATAAAAATAAAAATGGGGAGACTGTTGGAGTTTTTGTCAAATAAGTTATTAGAAAGTTGTTTCTTCCAGGTGCACTTTTGCTGGAACAAGTAGTTAATTCTTATGGCGGTGAGGGAATTCTGGCCATCATAGATGCTGCAAAACAACAGTACACTGAATCTCAAAGCAGAAAAGTAGCTGGCAATGCAAGCTGGTGGAAAGTAAATGCGGAATTTTTTTTTGTTGCATTTTTTCTTTGGGTCTAATATGTCCAATATGTGATATGATATATAAAATTTTGACTAGGCTCTCAAAGTAAGCTTCTAAATGTTCTGCCATGTCTCAATCATCATTTTTTGGCGTTTTCCTCTCTGTTTGCATATATGCTCAGTCTTTGACCCCCTTTGTATAAGAGGCAGATTTTGCATATGCATCAAGCATTTCATGAAAATTTCCTATGAATTTGCATTCTTTAAATTCATTTCAACTTTCCAAGTTGTGACAATATGTAATTCATGGCAGATAAGGGAGGCTACTCTTTTTGCATTATCATTTATTTCTGAGCAACTGTTGGAGGCAGAGGTTTGGGCATTTTGGCATTTTAGTTCTTGATTATCATTAATATATTATAACTTTTTTTTTTTTCCTGTTTTAGTTAAGAATTTGTTTTGCGGTGGTGTTCAAATTTCATATTTCCTATGTTATCTATACAGGATTCAGGTCTAGTAGCAAGTGGCTTTCACCACCTGGTTGAGCAGATAATCACTGAGGACTCTCTAATAGGTTACTCATTAATTCTTTCCTCGCCTGCCATGGGCTTCCATTCTATGTAATACATACAATTGTTTTATATTTCCTTTATTGATGTTTCTCTACATTTTTCCCCCCACACTCTTGGCAGGTTCTCATGAATACCCCTTTCTTTATGCTCGTATTTTTGCTTCAGTTGCTAAATTCTCCTCCATGGTAACTGTTAATTTTTCTAATTTATTATAGTCCAATTTCTTTCTTTTGGTCTTCTTACTTATTTTATTGTACAGCTAAGCAGTGGTGTTCTAGAACATTTCCTTTATGCAGCAGTGAAGGCAATCACAATAGATGTGTGAGCGCATTTGTCCTTTGGTAGCTTATATTTTTCTTGTAATTTGCCTTCACTTACTTCTAATTGTAATAGGCCTCTGCCTGTGAAAGTTGGTGCTTGTCGTGCACTTTGCCAGCTCCTTCCTGAAACGAAGAATGAAATTACCCAACCACAAATGTTGGGTTTATTTTCATCTCTCTCGGAGCTTCTTTCTCAAGTACTATGCAATATTATATCTTTTTACTAGTACTCATTTTTTTTTCATTTGGTAATCATCTTAACATGATTTTCAGGCATCGGATGAAACCCTGCACATGGTACTTGAAACTTTGCAAGCAACAATTAAGGCAGGCAAGTTTAGATATTACTTGGTAGTAAATACCAAAATTTTCTAGTTTCTCTAGGTTTGTGTGTTTTTTTTTTTTTTTTGGTCAGCTACTATTCCTGCGTTGATGCCTATATTTTTGCTCATTATAGGTCATGAATCATCAGCGTTTGTGGAGCCCATTATTTCTCCTGTTATCCTTAATGTATGGGCATTGCACATTTCAGATCCTTTTATCAGTAGTGATGCACTTGAGGTTCTTGAGGTAACGGTCTTTAACATATTATTTTTAGAAGCTATTATCTGCTGTGTTTTCTTATTGATGTTGGCATGTTATGTTAATTATTTGTTATGACTCATTTAAGCTCCATATATTCTGTATCGTCTAGGTTCACATTTTCAGACCTTGGCAACATGATTATAGATGGTTTTGAGATTCACCTAACTATTGTTATTTTCCCCAGGCCATCAAAAGTATACCTGGATGTTTACATCCACTGGTTTCCAGAATTTTGCCATATGTTGGACCAATTTTAAGTAAAGTACGACTGATTAAAGCTGTTCTAATGTTAGCGTAGAATAATAAATCTAAGTATTGCTTTCTGATGCACCTTTTTTTCCCTTATCAGCCACAAGAGCAGGTTGATGGTTTGGTAGCTGGGTCATTGGATCTGGTAACAATGCTACTAAAGGCAAGTTTACTTGATTTAAAGCATAATTTCTTTTGACTTTTGTCAACTCATGATTTGCTGATTTGTGGTTTCTCATCACATGTTACAGAATGCCCCTCGTGATGTAGTGAAAGCAATATATGATGTTTGTTTTGAGGCCATGGTCAGAATAGTACTTCAAAGCAATGATCATAGTGAAATTCAGGTCATGCAGTTTTCCATACATGCATGTATATCTGAAGACTTGAGTTGTAATATTTTGGAGGCTATGTTTGGTTCAAATTAATACGTCTTCTGATAGCTGTACTCTGCAAAGTAGAATTAATTGGCATCCATTAACTCAACTCAACACTTAACAGAATGCCACAGAATGTTTAGCTGCTTTTATATCTGAGGGAAGACAAGAAGTTCTTGCTTGGGGATCTAATTCTGAAGCAACTATGAGAAGTTTACTTGAAATAGCTTCAAGGTAGTTTGTAATTATTTTACATTGCTTCATAAATACCATCATAATGCAAGCATCCTTTTCGAAGGAGCATGGCATCTGTCTAGTCAATACTGATGGAAAAGAAATCTTATGAAGGGAATCAGTTCTCTGCTATGCTTTTTACATTCAACCTTCCATATCATGGCACCTATGTATATGCATCCTAGTAGAACTTAGATGAACATAGGCTGTCATTAATAGAAGAAGGGTTTAGTGATATAAGGAATCAAAATGAAATAAGGCATTATATTCCTGGTGGTCTTCACTTTGATTCTCATAGTCTTTACAAGTGGGCTTTTTTAATTGTTTCTTTCCTTCCCTATCCATCAATTTAGAAATCAGAATTTTTCCCTCTATTCTCTTCATAGAATCCTGATGTTCCAAATGCTGTGTTTCTTGGAATTTGGGGCAGGCTTCTAGACCCAAATTTGGAAAGCTCTGGATCTCTTTTTGTTGGGAGTTACATTCTTCAACTTATATTACATTTGCCGTCACAAATGGCAGTACATATACGCGACCTGGTTGCTGCTGTTGTCAGACGTATGCAATCTGCTCAAATTGCTTCCTTGAGGAGTTCATTGCTAGTCGTTTTTGCCAGATTGGTAATGTAACCAAAATATCAGATTATTATGGATTTCTTATACAATGTGTAGAAAGTGGGTAATTGTATTTGTTCTTTCAAATGATAATTGGGGAAAATTATGTATACAGATCTTTCTACCATAAATGGAAACATATCTTCATACAATTGTCCTACCCAACAGTTGACTCCTAGGAATAAAGCTATAATTACATGATTGTCTATCCGTTTAAATTATACTGATAATTATTCATCCTCCTGAACAATCTCCCCCAGATCTTGTGATAACTCCCACATTTATGCTTCAGCATTTTCCTTCATCATTCAATCTTGTTTGACACTACTGTGCGAATGAAAACTTTTGACATCAGAGGCCCTGTCTTTAGATTCCCAGAGGGGTTTGTCACTGAGGAAATTCTCCGTATTCAGTGAGTGGCTAAGAAATTGGGAAAAGAACTTAGATGACCGCTACTGCAATGGGACTAGAAAAAGCTAAAATTTGTTTAGTCTTTTCTGCGTTGGGAGGTCCTCCGTTTATGTATTGTTCTCTCTTCTTTCTAATAAAATTATTTTTCAATGAAAAATAAAAAGATTTAAGCTTCCGAATTGACTGATATATGAGTAAAATCAAGGGAATTTATTGTTTTCTATTGTCCTTATATTTTCCTTTTCAGTTTTATAATGATTTAGATTCCCCAGTTACAGGTATTGCTGTAACTCAAATTGCATATAGTTGGCAGAGTCAATAGTAGTTTCTAGGATGCCTTCTCATGCTATCCTTATTATTTTGGCTTAATTATTGTTTTAGGCAATTTGTTATTTGTTTTGATTTTGTCTAAACTTTCAACTTTTGTACCATATTCACCTTTTTCTGTTATATCAAGGACTATTTTGGAACATTATGAAAAGCAAGGGATCACTTTGAAACACTGGAAAGAAATTAAGGTACCATTTTGAAACACTAAATAATGTTAAGGGGTGACTATGATGCAAATTGAAAATGAAGTGACTAAATGAAACAAATTAATAAGTTTAGGGGACCAACATGATAATTAAACCTTTTCCCACATTGTTTGGCAAAAAATTTGTCCACACCGTAGCTCTTGGGGTACACTTTTCAAATATTTCTTTATAACTGCAGGTTCATATGAGTGCTCCTAATGTTGGACAATTTATTGATTTGCTGATCTCAATTCCTGCTGAAGGCCATGATAATTCCTTTGCTTATGTAATGTCAGAATGGACTAAGCAACAAGGTGAGCATCCTTCAGCTGTCTTTTTGCAATGTGATTGGTGTGTTTCAAATTGAGAGTTGTCGTTGCATGGGATTTCTTTAAGAGCATGAATTTCAATTTCTCTATGATTATTGGAAATAGCTTATGGGTTCCCCCTGTGTGGATGGTTGAAACGGTTATTGGAATTTACTAAACTACTCAGGAGAATCCCCTATAATTTATGGCGATAATTTCTGATTTTTTTAAAATAAATTGATTAACATGATTTATTCTTTCACTTGAATAAACGCTTGATATTCCCATGAGAACAGATAGGAAATTGAGATTATAATCTTGTGGTTTATGTAGGCTTACAGGTTTTAATTAGTTGCAAGCCTTTTTTTTTTTTTTGGGCTTGTTTCTGCTGTTTATCTATGCTATTATTGACCAAAAAAATCCTTGCTATTAGTCTATTACATTTACATGTCTATTCACTTTCTTCTTTCTTTAGATGTATTGCTTGCTGCGAGTAGGAAGGATCTACAGATGAGAGAAATATTGTTCAAATTTCTACCATAATATTTACTCCTTAGCTCTCATGTCTTGACAGGCAATCCAAGCCTTTGTTTAGACACCATGCTTGCGTTAAAATCGATTGAGAATTACACTTTGTGGAGTCATTCTGTCATGCGTTGTTTGCTTCATCTGGGGCTCAAACTAGGCTGTTAATTTCCCCTCGTTGGTCTTCTGCCTCTCGCAGCAAGCTTTCTTTCGTTCTTGTGCTGTGTAACTTTTCTGAGAATATGACAGGGCCAACAACAATAACAGATAAAGGAAATGATTAACACGTGAACAAAGAGATAATTCACTGGGTATCCTCTATTACAGAGGGAAAATGTAGAGAATACAACCACTAATCAGCACCTCACACACTACTCCTATTCAATCCTCAATCAAGGACAAAGAACAAAAAGAGACATCACACACAACCTGGTTTTCGAGAGACCAGGCACACTCCACTAACATGATACTACTGTCCTCCCTCGTCTGTCATTCGCTGCCCCTTTTCACACCTCCCACTACCTTGACAAGGTCAGGCACTGTTATTTGTTGTGCCTTTCCCCTATGCCCTTGCTCACTCTGCTCCTGGTTATTTCTGTTGGGCTTCCTTGTGTAAACACGGCCCCAAAAATGTTGGGAGGCCCAACAGAACTACAATGCAAATAACTTTACTATTTGTAATAGATCTGATGTTATACATGTTTATATAGATATTAGGTAGTTTTTGGCCTTCTTGTATGTTTTGGCTTGAAGGTATTTTTAATTTTTTATCCTCCAACAAGATGCCCCCTCTTTCTAACGGAATTTCTTATTTATTTAAGAACAATAAAACTTGAAGTCCTTATGCTTGCATAACTTAGACCTATTAAATTCTCATCCAAATGCAATCTGAGTGCAGGTGAGATACAGGGGGCTTATCAAATAAAAGTTACTACAAGTGCTCTAGCCTTGCTGCTAAGCAGCTCGCACACTGAACTGGCAAAATTAAGTGTTCCAGGCCATCTAATTAAGGTTATTCTCTGATTCTATGTAATCATTTATTCATTTATGATTTCGACTGTGCTTCCTCATTCTGGAATTTGTTTTATGAAGTCTGGTGTGGGAATAACCACAAGGTCAAAAGCAAAATCAGCTTCGGATCAGTGGATAATATTGCCACTTCCTACAAAGGTATTCCATATCATGATCAGTGTCTTAATATAATTAGGACGGTTATTTATTGACAGAATTATGCTCATGACTTAATGTGTATCCTCTTAACTCCCGGTAGTTTATGTACACCCCCAGTGTGGTGGGGAGTTCCCTACTGAAAGTACTTTTTGAAATGGGGGAACTAACCCATTTAAATGCCCTACAATGCAGCCGATGCCCCATAATACATAATGTTGGATTATTTAGCCCATTCTATCTTGGTCTCTTTTAATTTTGAGGCAGGAGAACTAACACACATAAGTGTTCCATAAAGCAGCCCATGCTTCCAAATGTAAGACTGAGCAGCTCATATCGCTTTATCAGTGGGAAATTATTACTGAAATCTCTATTGTCTTCCGTTTATTCCATGATGACTGCTCTACAGGACATTAGTCAGAGTTTAATGGTTCCTTTTTATACGGGCACGTACGTTGAAACATTTTTATTTGAAATATGATTTTTCTTCTAGAAGCTATAGGATGCTTTTCACTAAGACGTACTGTCTGTGCACCATCATGATCAAAGATTCCTGTCATCTTTTAAAGAAGAACATGCATCAAAGTTGAATTTCTTTAGTTATAAATAATTGAAGCTTTATCAAAACTACTATTGGTTTTATGGTAGTAATGTTGGGCTTTAATGGGACAGTAAGAGCATAAAGTAAGAGTAACGGAGATGAGAATGTTGAGATGGATACGCGGACATACACGTAAAGATAAAATCTGAAATAAGCACATGAGAAAAAGTGGGGATAACACCTATTAAGGGGAAAATAGTGGAAAATTGTTTGAGATAGTTTAGACATGTACAAAGAAGAGCGCGAGAGGCACTAGTGAGAAGAGTGGAATTGATAACTTTAAGCTTTGTTAAGAGAGGTAAAGGATAGCTAAAGAGAACACTTTTGAAAATTGTTGATTGAAACTTCTTAGTTAACATCATTTCTAAAAGTTTGGTAAATGATAAAGCATAATGAAATTGTGCAATCTTTATAACCGACCCCACCTAATGGGATAAGGTTTCTTCTTGTTATTGTTGCTGCTGGTGTATAAATAATTGAAGCCTTTTCTTGATTATGTCCAATATGTTGCAGATAGTGGCTTTACTGGCAGATGCATTAATTGAAATACAAGAGCAAGTTTTGGCTGGTGATGATGAGGTCGTTTACTTACTGATGAGGGCCAATTCCGTTCTGTTTATTGAATCTCACAATTGGAAAACTGGCTGCTTTTTCAGGATGATGACTGGGAAGAAGTTCAACCCGGGGATGACATTGAAAATGAGCGAGGATTTCTTTCTTCCTTGTCTGCTGCTGCTTCAGGGAAACCCACATATGAACATCTTGAAGCAATAGCAAAAACATTTAATGAGGTTTGTCTGACCTATGATGTAATTATATCCCGTCACTTTTCACCTTCATTGACTGTTTTCATATCGCTGATCACTAATTAAACTTTCTTGAAAATCACAAGGATCAAGAGGATCAATATGAAGATAACCTTTTAAGCATTGCTGATCCCCTTAATCAGGTCTGTGCTCTACATTTTGCTTTGTAATTCACAGGTTTTGTTGCATGAATTTGGATTTTTTTCCCCAACAATTTTGATTTTATCTGACAGATAAATCTGGCAATCTACCTCACGGATTTTTTTGGTAACTTGTACCAAAATGATAGACAGTTTTTTGATAACATTTGTCAGGTTTGCTTAATCAATCGTCTGGAATTATTTGTTTTAAGTCGATATTTTATGTTCTTGGTAATATTGAATATGAACATGTGACCTTGTACTGCAGAACTTGACTCAGGCTCAACGAAATGCTATTCAAACGGTGCTGCGGAGATGAGTTTTAATGTAATGACCATTCTGCACTCTTCCTAAAGATGGGTTGATAAGACAAGTTACTTGAGCGTTTTAAAGGTGTTCGAAAATACGGATGCTTTCTTACAAATTAGCAGCATGTTATTGGTTTTTTTTTTTTTTTCAAAAGCTTATCTGTATATTTAGTAGGAAAACCTCATGGGAAAGACTAAAACCTGATATTTTTTATTTTTCAGGGTCTAAAGCAAGAGATGGTGCCCCCCCCCCCTTTTGAATCAACGAACAGATGGTTGAGAAGGCGTAATCTGATTCAGTTTTTTCCCCTTTTCCTTTTTCTTTTTCTTTTTTTTTAGTTTTTTTATTTTTTAAATGTATTTTTCATCAGTTTTGTGTGTTCATTACATTTTCATTTGTTCTTGTACTAGGGCCCTGTGGATGTGTCCTCCGAGGCGTAGATTTATTTTGGAGTTTGGATTGTTCAAATGTGAGTCTTTGAGATGTGTAACTTATTTGGCTATCCATCATTTCAATGATCAGTTTTCCATTGACATTGGTTATTGCTCTTTGCCAAGTTACCATTTTTCTTTCTTATCTGTATATCATAAGATCAAAGTTAGTAACATGTGATTTGTAATGTAAACAATTGATTTTGAATAATCATGTTGTGTGATCTTTTGAAATGTTTAGTTTTATTCAAATATCTTGAGACTTCAATATGAGGATGTGCCTGATGATGCGTACCTGTTAGTGGCAGAGCCAGTACTTTTAATGTTAACGAGATGTTATTTTATTAGAATTAGTGTTACATTCAAATTGGAACACACTAACACAAATTCATGAGGAAATATTTAGCGAAAAAGTAATATGCTAGTGGCTTGAAGGCTGAAGCTTACATCACAAATTAGACCTCTTTTCCAATGTATTTTATGGTAATTCAAGTACTATTATTCAATAGCATAATTTATCAAAGTTATATATCATCCATTATTGATTTATTTTCTTTTATATTAAAGTGGTATAGATAATATGATAGCAAGTCAGTTTACAATTTATACTATTTAATTTGATATTAGAGTTCTGCATCCCACAAGCAGCTTCATCTTTATCTGCATTTTGTTTGTGGTGTTCTCTGTTTTCTTTTGAATTTTTCTTTATAATACTTTTTCATGAATATGGATTGATTTTACATGCTTGTTTTTTCTTGATGTATCATATGTTAATGGTATTATGATTATTTAGATAAAAATGTTATAATTATCTTGAAGACTTTTTAAGCTCTTTAATCTTTTATCTTTTTAAAATTTTAAATTGATTTCTTCAGTTTATATTAGGCTAAAGTAATGTATAATATTGCGTATTGAGTATTCATAATTTTAGAAAATGCTACTTTTAATCCTAACATTACTTTTCAAATAAAATTACTTTAGAAGAAGGTAATTATCTTTTTATTAATAAAAAAGGATAAATGAGCAAATTTTGAACCTCTGAATTTGACTTGTATTTTCGTTTTATTATTTTAATATAAAAAAAAAAAAAACTGGGTGTTCAGTAATCAGTAATATGCCATCAAGCTGAGGTCGAGCTTAGTCCAACGTGTGAACATTCTTATTCTAACCTTAATAGTTGGAGACTTTTTTTGGTAGAGTTTCCAATCGGCGATGTTAATAACGTGAAAGAGTTTCGCCTAAGGAGAAAAACGCGGCTGCGGGAAGTGGAATTACATAAATCTCCTTTTTGGGTCAATGTTTCCATGGACTTAGTCAATGGAAATCGATGATCTCCAACAACCATTGTTTTTGTTTTTTGTGAATTTTTTTTTTAATATTCTGACACACACACACACACACACACACAAGAGACAGTCATATATATCGCTTAGAATTATCTCATTTAAAGTGAAAAGATCCATCATTTCTGAATTTTTTTCCCCCTTACCTTACAAGGAGTATGAATAACAAGAGAATATTGGAAATAGCTAATAAATAAGGTTTTTATTTTATAACCATTTCTTGGGGTTTACATGTGTGTAATTTCCTCCCTCCCTCCTCTCATGCATCTCATGCATCTCGTTTTAATGACTTTTGTCACTTTTAAAATTACTAAAAGCTTCAATCGGTCAAGATATTGATTCAAGAATTAATAATTAAAATTTTAGTTGAATTAAGATAAAATTAATCATAAATAACACATTTTATTAAATAAATTAAGACACTAATTTAACAGTTTATTGACTCAATTGAATAAGGTTGACCCAAAATTTTATACTATGTTTTTTCTCCCTTATAGTTGTAGGAAGTTGTAAAAATTTTTCAAATATATCCCTAATGCTAACCAGTTATTTTTCCCCCACATCCGTAATAAATGAGTTTATTATTCCTCCCTTCGTCCCTAAATATTAGTTACCAAAATTACACAAGCCAATAAGTTTGTTTGTCCTTAATAATTTTTTTGGAAAAATTATTCTTATATCTCATATAAGCTCCAAAGTTTCATGTCCTTTATTTAAGTTGTCAATTACTATTAAATAATTATTAATAGAGTTACTCAATTGACAATTTGACAATTAAGCAATGATAATTAACAACTATCCGATGTTGGGCAACATGTGAAAAAGCATTTTCTCCCCCTCCCCAAAATCTCTCTATATGCATTTTGGTGTTGGGTTCATTCACATTGTCTCTTTCATTTTTTTCATCCGTCTAGTTTTCTCTAATTCTCTCATCGCCTAATACGGCCAAACATGTCCTAATTCATCCTCTTTGTTCACTAAATCAATCCCAACCTGTTTGGATAATGCCATTTGAAATGTGATTGTGGGAGGTCGAGTCACTAGTCTCTATGGAAAAATCATAAATAAAAACCTTCGAGCATCACAAATAACTAATCAGAACCACCAAATCATGAAATTAAATTTTAGGATTGTGACCCCCTTTTTATTTTTTGTAGTTTTGAGGTTCACTGGTATTGAAATTATTTTAGTTGAGTTGGAAATTTAGTTTGAAAGGTTTTATAAAATTATTTTATTTGAATTGGAAATATTTTAACTCCCAATTGGCCAGCTTAAAATTTGATAGTGATAAAATTACTTTAATTGGATTGAAAATTTAATTGAAGATATTAAAAAATTGAAAAAATTTTTAACTCCCGTACTTGGTCTCCAGAGAAACAAAATGTTTTAGTCAAATTATTATTTTTAAAACTAAAAAAAGGACCATGATCCAAAAATTCAATTTTATAAATTCGTGGTTGTGGAATAGTCAATGGCGAAGATTTACGAAACGTGGGACTCACGTGGGACTCCTCAAGCTTCAACAGCCACTGAATGGATTCCGAAGATTTTTCTGTAAATAATTTGACATCGGATATGGAATTAATATACTTTCATGCAATACAGGGAAAATATCATTCAAGGTCTGCTAAGAATATTTAATATTAATTAAGGATTAAAAAATTTAAAAATATCACAGCATGATTAAGGAATTAACTTGAAAATAATTTTAAACAAAAAGACCATAATATCCCCTGCCTTTCTTTTTTAATGGATTAGTAACAATTCGTTAATTAACAAGTACTTATTCAAATTTAATAAGAAACTATTTTCTAATTGATAAATTTAAGAATATGAAAGAGTTTAATTGTGAGAAGGGATAAGTGTAGTTCATGTTTTAATAAGTTACTATTTGTTGATGAACAAATATTTATTTGTATTTAACAAAAAATCATTTACTAATTGATAAGTTCAAAAATTTGAAAATACTTGGTTGTGAGAAGGGACAATGTATATTATGTTTCAATAAGTAGTTATTTATTAATTAACAAATACCTATTCGCATTTAATAAGAAGCTATTTGCTAACTGATAAGTTCAAAAATCTAAAATTTGAAAGAACTTGATTGTGGAAATGAACAAATGTAGTTTTAACTTTATCGTTCTTTTTTGTGTTAAGTTTAATTTATCCTAATTAGATATACATATTTTTTCACATTCATTTAATGGAAGGTAAAAGAAAGAAACTTATAATAAAAAAACTAATGACTTGATTTATAAATAGGATAAAAAAATTATAACTTTATGCATTATAAATAAGATTGGAGGGAGTTATTTATTATTGATAATAATGCTATAATTGTTTATTTTATTAGTGAAACAATTATTCAAAATGTTCGATTCCTGGTGGAGAGCATCACTTTGAAGATGATAACCCTTTTAAATGATGTTTAGATTCCTCAAGAGATTAGCCTCATAGGTGTTGGCTATAGAGATACCTTAGAAAACTGAAAAAAAAAAATTCAAAATGTTTCATATTATTTATTTCCTTTTAATTGAATCTATAAAATAACTTCCATGCTAAAATAGGAACAAGACATATAGAGAAATTAGAAAACCAGGGCATTTTAATTGCGTACAAATATTCTCTTACTAAAAACACTATGTAAATATATGTGTGTGTGTATATATATATATATATATTGAATGAATAAACGTGAACAACTTCTTCTTTTCTTTTGCCTTTTGTTTTAATGAATGAATGTGAACATCTTTACCGATAAGGATTGAAAGGACCACGGGAAGCAAAATAGATTATTAAGGAAGTAAGTGAGGAGAGATAACAGAAAAGGACACTTTCCCATCTCAATATCCGAGGACTTTCATAGATTATAAGATTTAATCTATTTCAAACATACACTACAATATTACAGACATTGACCTTATTTGATATATATTTATATATGACATCCTTGATTAGTTTAGTCTACTGATATTAAATTATAACCCACATTTATATGTCCTTTCTTTGGGATACAATAATTCTTTTATCCTATGACTCACCGTAGCCACCAGCTATGAGACTCAGAATTATCAGACGAGAATGAAGAAAACTTGAAGAAAAGAACATGATTAGCTCTAATCCCTCTCTCGCCCTCGAGTACTGTTCTAATCCCACAACCCAGAAATTCTCTACAAAGGGGACAAGTAAAGTTGCTGAACCCAATCCACTGATTCAAACAAAGCCTGTGAAAAACATGGTCACACCTCAGTACTCTAACTTCGTCTCCTTCACCAATCTTGCTCAGACACACTGCACAGTCTTTTTCTTCTCCACCAGCACGCCATATCTCCACTTCTTCTTCTTCTGTAACGATCTGACGAAACTCTTGAAGCAGAGGTTGATGATGATGAACACGCAGGCTGTAAAATGGGTGGTAGAGAAGGAACTCTAGAACCCATTTGAGGTAGTTGTAGAGCATGCTGAACAATTGAATAGAAAATCTGGAGATTATTGTTACAACAGTGGACATGTTGTTTTTGGGATTGAACTTGTGGTTTTGGAGTAATGTTAGTGCCTTGGCTTGTATATATTTATAGAGGTAAGCACATAATATTGAGCACGCAAAACATTTCACCAAATTAATTAGTTAGCATTGAAGTCAATTTCCGGATGATGACTTGAAAATGTGAACTGTGATAGGATTGTGTGGTTCACATATATTTGTGTCTAAACAAGATTCGTCCAATAAGGATTGGTTAATGTGGATTCTTTTGATTGTATTATTTT